TCCAAGCAATAAGCTTTGATAAATCTATTTACTCCTGTGCAAGTCTCACTCAGATCAAACCCCTCTCACTGATGTATTTGTCCAACCTTAAATTGATTTTCGAAAGACTGAGAAAGTTATATCAAGCAAGTCCATGGTCGATAGGAATATAATTGAATCATGTCTCACAAAAGGTAGTTCTGAAAATAATATGAATATTGAAGATTGAGTCACTTTGGCAACAAATGGGAATCTTTATTAAAGGAACGTTTCACCACACAGTGGCTTCATTAGTCCAATACAGAGCAGAAAGGGGGAAGGAGAACAGAAGTTTGAGGTAATCAGTCCCTCAGCTTGGAATCGATGTATTCAGTCCATCACTCTTGTAGAAACTACAGAATATGAGAAATGGCTAATATGCTGTAGTCACGTGATCGAAGCAGGAGGAAACGGGTTCACAATGGAACCATCACTGGTGTAAGTAGGTCGTCTTCCAAACTTTGGACAAGTATTAAAGAAATCCTTGTCTCAAGATCCCATGATGTTGCAGTGCCTGACAGATGTGATAAATGGTTTTGAAAACCGGCAAGTGGATCACAGTGAATGTTTCTACCGTGATCCCACCTCCTCCTGCATCGACTCACCTGACTACAATATATAAGCCGCTTCTCCGGCCATATGCTGTACTTTCTACAAGAGTGGTGGACTAAACACATCGATTCAAGGCTGAGGGACTGAATACCTCAAATTTCTCCTCTCCTTGTCCCTTTCTGCTATGTATTGGACTGATGAAGCCATTGCGTGGCGAAACGTTTCCTTAATAAAGATTCCTATATGCTGCATAAGTGTCTCAATCTTCGACTTGTCGGTTTTCAAAACCATTTATCACATCTGTCAGACACTACAACATCACTGGATCTTGATACACAGATTACAATGCGAAAATCTTATCCAGCTTCTCAGAGCTTTACCCCTCTGAACCGCACCTCTGAGTCGTTGGAATAGAAAACTAGCTGCCCTGGGATCCCTAGTTACCCTGATGAGTCTTTCACTTAGTTCCTTAAGAAACTTATATGCACTCTTTCCCCATGGGACAAGGTTTTCTGAGCCCATGGGAATAAACATTGAATGACGGGAAAGTTCGCCATATTTTCTAGACTTCAGGGACTCCTTCAAGCTGGCAGCTGCCTCTCCTTCTTCCCTGGTATATTATACCTGGAGTATACATGGAGAGGGTTTTGGGGGCCATCTCCTCCGCGGCCTGGTCTGTGACCAGGAGATAGGTATCAGTCAATGTGAATGCACATGTGTAGTCCCACATCACCTGCTTGCCATTTGTCCATGTTTGAAGGGTGATACCATTTGGACACTTTTGGTTACCATCAGATCTACATAGTTGGGGTGACTTCCCTATTACTGGGCATCCTGATGTTATGAGGTTCCTCTTGATGATGTTATTAATCTCTTTATGGTTTGCAGCTTTTCCCTCTGGTCTATGGCAGATAAAACCATAGTACCCGATTCGGTCTGCCGATTCACTGGATTTACTGCCGCATAGACACATGTGTTCGACGATAATAGAGGCGGTACGGCAAAGGGCAACATCAATGCAGATGATGTTTGGGTCGAAACGTGTGCGAATGGACGAGTTGGGAACAACCAACAGGAAGTCCCCTGCTTGAGGAGTTCTCACTGCTAAGAGGCGGGATCTATCCTTCCCTGACACTCTGAAGCATTATTGAGGCTATATTCTCCAATATTAGGCCAAACTAGTGTGACTGCAGTTGCTGGGTGGAGCAGGTCTGGTTTCAGAGCCCGTTAGATTATCCCAGAGCCTGGCTCCGTCAACGGACTTTTGGTCATGAACTCCAACACTGTTCCTAAGGTGTTCAGGAAGAATCGCTGCTGCAGGTCAACTGGATACAACACATGAGTACAGGAAAGCAGGTAGTGCAATTTGTGATGCCTTCCGGACACCAATACCTAGTCTGACTGTCCATCACTTATTAATTGCCAGAGTTAATTTCACATTTGGATTCAGTATGAGTCCCATTTCCTGTCCGCGTATCACCACCTGTGTAAGATCATCTAGACGGGACTCCTTTGTTCCCGCCAGTGTGCCATCGTCCAGCAACCAGATGTTTAGCTCACTGGTAAGCCTGACAATGTTTTCCCTAACCGCAATACAGAAGAGAAATATGGCAAGAGGATCCCCTTGCTGGACACTCTCTGATGAAGTGATTTCATGCTCTCGAAACAGGAGCATTGATTCCTTGTTATATCCAGTTGAAACAAAAGGAAAGAGACCAGGAAAATGTTGTTGTACAGCTTTTAATACCACGTCTCTTTTCTTGAAATCTAATTTTACCACTGCATTGTCCTCAGGCAAATCATCAATATACGCCCTTGTTGCATGAACCGCTGCTTCGCTTCCTTGAGAGTCCCCAAAGTCAAGCTGAAAAAAAAAAACATAACGCAGACGGGGATAGAACACGCTATCAGAGAGTCTCAACACTCCAGACTGTTGCTAACGCGACGGTCTGGAGTTTTGAGACTCTCTGATCGCGGGTTCTATCCCCGTCCGTGGTATGGTTTGTTTGCAATCGTGTCATTACGATTTCGTGAGTCAAGTCAAACTGCTTTGGTTGAAGCATCATGGCCGCCTGTGTGCGAATACTGCGGACAGCAGCTTCGGAAACGAGGCGGCGAACAGTGTTGCCTACGGCAATTGGCCTAATTCCTCCATCCTTCTTTTTAGGGACAGAGAGTGATGCACCAAAAAGAAAGGATTAATTTCCTCAGGAATCAGACCAGTCAATATCTATACAATATCAACTGAAAACAAACATAAAATATATTGTCTGAATTATGTGGTATATATAGTTTCAAGATTTTTTCAGCTGTTTTATTGCGAATATATTTAGTTTGTTCTGGAGTTTTAAAATATTTTGCTAGCTTGTTTCGGAGAATTATCTATGGTAATTCTCGCGTAAAAGTTTAACAGAAATCTCGCAAATTTAACTTACTTTATCACAAATTTATTCAAGACTGCGAACATTCATTCCTTTCACGAGCACAAAACAATCAAATAATTTCAGTTTCACGAGGAAATAAGAATGAACACGTAAGCACAAACAGACATAGATACGATTTCAATAAATGACAAGGGACTATCATGTTCTGTTTCAGTGGTAAATTTAATTGGAGAGGCTGAGCTATTCAGTCTGGCATAAAATTTTGGCAAGGCAAGAGATTTCATATTTGAACCATTTAGCCCTGGCTGACATAATTCGGTGAGTGTCTTGTTTTAAAAAATATACAAATTGCAAAAACAAATTATTAATAATTACCTATAGAAATGCAGAAACATTGGGGATAATACATTTCCCTGAACTTACATTTGATACCTTCAATAAACAATTTGCTTATTCACTTGCAATGGTTGTATCCACTTGATGCTTGCGGTTGGAAAATTCATGAGCCATGAATTCTGAAAGGTGATCCACGGGGATCTCTGTAAATTAATTGCTCAGTAATTACAACAATTTACATATAACCGAGAGGCCCCGAGTTGAGTGAGACTTTTGAACGAGTCTCTGTGCACCTGCTCCTCCTGTTCCCATAGCAGTAAATAAATACTTTGGTGTTAACTCGGGGCGTAATCTCAAAGAAATGATAGTGTACCTCTGATAATCATAAGCATGGATATGATTAGTGGAAGTATGACAGTTTATAACCTGAAAATTAATTAGCTGTGACTCACGAAATGGTAATAACATGATTTCCATACGTTCGAGTCCCACTCTTTTTGTGGTATGATTAATTAACAACGAAAAGAAAAATTAAACTCCCAAGTTGTTCAGTTAAGTCATGATATTAGTATAATAAATATTTTAATTATTAGTATTAATATATAATATAATAATTAATACAAAACATGGAGGAAGAAAAGACACTCTTGAGTTCGAATTGTTTTTTGACTTTAATCTGAGGTCCTCTTCAGCAGAAGAGAATCTCAATTGGAGGTCAATAAAAGGTCGGTCCCTTTTCACAACTTATTTCTTTCTGTCTCCAGTAGAGGTTTCGTGTTAAATTGTTCAGATATGTTGACTATATTCTATGCAGACGATCTTCTGCGTAGACAATGCATTATGCGGACGAAGTTCAATGTTGACGAAGTTCTATGTGGATGATGTTCTGTGTTGATGATATTCTATGTTGATGTTCTATATTGACGAAGCTCTGTTTCTCTAACTACTCGGAAAAATCTCGACTACTTAATATTAGCCTTAACACTAGCGTCCCTGACATTAATATATATATATATATATATATATATATATATATATATATATATATATATATATATATATATATATATATATATATATATATATATATAATATATCCACCAATCGATATAATCCACATTTTATTGCTGACATCCCATGCAGTCATTTAAATCTTCAATTTTTTTTATTATTAATAAAGTTCAGTGAGAAAATTTGGCTACAGGTTAATTATAAGTTACCACAGACTTACGATAACTCAACATCAGTAAGAAGGTGCTGTTAGTAAATGTGGTTCTTTGTGGAATCTCGTTTTTCCTACATACAAATAGGAATGATTTATGTACATTTTTGAAAAAAAAGACGAATCTGCCCATTCTAAAAAGAATTTATGTTTACTGTAGACATCATCTCCTTTATAAATAAGTGAATGTATATTATTGACGACATAAAGCCGATTTACAATGAATTTCAGTAATGACATTATAAGTGCGTTCGGAAAGCCATGGTTTACATTCATATTATTGAAAAAAAAAATCATTGTAACGTTAAAGTTACGTGGGACACGTAAGGATGAATTAGAAAGTGCCGTTGGCCATCAGTAAATGCAACAACACACGAGAAAGTGCTAACAACCTATGAGGTGGTGCCAAAAACCGGCACTGCTAAACTCCCTCTCAGGCAGTACTGAAACACAAGAAACTTCCACGGTCAGCAGTTGACAGAACTTACCATCTCCGGAGACGGTGGGTAGTCTTGTGTCAGCGAGGCAGACGACCTCCCCGACGACCTCACAGAAGAAAATGTTTCCCAGGGGCACGTCTCCCTGCCCGTAGGTGGAGTTCCTGCCCCGTGGGGCTCCCACCACCGCCCTGGGAAGGAGAGTGAGAGGACTGAGCCTTGAAAAAGGACCGTAAGCAAAGCGGAGAATGTGGAAGACACTAGAAGGGAAAGAAATTTTAGATTGTTTCGGTGTCTCAAGACCGAAAGGAAAAAGGTAAGAAATCCAGAAGACAGATAAGGTCATGATATGATGAAAAAACGAAGACAGGTAATCGGAAAATATAGGGAGCAAACTCTTAAGTGTAAACAGCGAGATGTACACCCCCTCCAATGTATATACACTGTCTCTCTCATTACATATACATCAAGAGAGATATACCCCTTTGAATGAGGTCTTTGTTGACCAGTGATGAAGGCAGGTTGCCATTCGTACGATAATTATCGTTCATATACCTAATTTTGCCTTTGGTGCGATATACTATACCTTCAGCTATCGTCGTACGGTTTGTACGGTAAATTCGGGTTTCAGATCCTCGAAATATATTTTTGTTCATGATTTCTGGCTTAAATTGAATGAAAGCAATTAAATGCATGATATTAAATGCATGCCTATTGACAGTATCATACAAAGTAGATAGAAACCTTCGCGATTTGCTGCCGAGGGCTCGTAAATGAATCTAATACCATATTTTTTTTTTTTACAAAAGGTAGACCGATAAGCCAGCGGAAGTACTCGGTCAGACGACCAAAAGCTCCAGCTGCTGGGTCATCATATGACGAGGACCTGCATCAGGAAACACTTGTCCTGTTTCCTGACAAACCTTGCCTAACCTAACCTAACCTAACCTAACCTAACCTAATCTGACCTAACCTAATCTAGCCTAACCTAATCTAACCTAACCTGACCTAACCTAACCTAGCCTAACCTAACTTAACCTAACCTAACCTAACCTAACCTAATCTGACCTAACCTAATCTAGCCTAACCTAATCTAACCTAACCTGGCCTATCCTAGCCTAGCCTAACCTAACCTGACCTAACATAGCCTAGCCTGACCAAACCTAACCTAACCTAGCCTAACCTAACCTAACCTAACCTAACCAAACCTGACCTAAACTAACCTAACCTAACCTAACGTAACTTAACCTAACCTGACCTAACATAACCTAACTTAACCTGACCTAACCTAACCTAACTTGACCTAACCTACCCTAACCTTACATAACCTAACCTAACCTGACCTAACCTAGCCTAACCTGACCTGACCTAACCTAACCTAACCTAACCTAACCTAACCTAACCTAACCTAACCTAACCTGACCTGACCTAACCTAACCTAACCCGGCGTAACTTAACCTAACCTAACCTAACCTAGCCTAACTTGATCTAACCTAACTTAACCTAACCTAGCCTAACTTGGTCTAACCTAACCTAACCTGACCTAACCTAACCTAGCCTAACCTAACCTAACCTAACCTAACCTAACCTAGCCTAACTTGATCTAACCTAACTTAACCAAACCTAGCCTAACTTGATCTAACCTAACCTAACCTGACCTAACCTAACCTAACCTAACCTAGCCTAACTTGATCTAACCTAACCTAACCTTATCTAACCTAACCTAACCTAACCTAACATAACATAACATAACCTAACTTGATCTAACCTAACTTGATCTAACCTAACTTAACCTAACCTAGCCTAACTTGGTCAAACCTAACCTAACCTGACCTAACCTAACCTAACCTAACTTAACCTAACCTAACCTAACCTGACCTAACCTAACCTAACCTAACCTAACCTAACCTAACCTAACATAACTTAACCTAACCTAACCTAACCTAACTTGATCTACCCTAACTTAACCTAACCTAGCCTAACTTGGTCTAACCTAACCTAACCTAACCTGACCTAACCTGACCTAACCTAACCTAACGTAACCTAGCCTAACTTGATCTAACCTAACCTAACCTAACCTAACCTAACCTGACCTAACCTAACCTAACCTAACCTAACCTGACCTAACCTAGCCTAACTTGATCTAACCTAACCTAACCTAACCTAACCTAACCTAACCTGACCTAACCTAATCTAACCTAACCTAACCTAACCTAACCTAACATAACATAACATAACATAACATAACTTGATCTAACCTAACCTAATCTAACCTAACCTAACCTAACCTAACCTAACCTAACCTAACCTAACCTAACCTAACATAACATAACCTAACTTGATCTAACCTAACTTGATCTAACCTAACCTAATCTAACCTAACCTAACATAACCTAACTTGATCTAACCTAACCTGACCTAACCTTGCTGCCGACATGTTCCAAACATATGTTCTTGAACAGGTCCCGCTAATGCGTTAGCATTTTCTCGATTTTATATTTTACTATTTAAATCTTAAACCATAATGCTTATATTAAATGTTTATGTTTGAAAATAGGTTGCTTTAAGCAGTGACTTCCATGGAAAAATAATTAACATTGTTAGAAACAATCTTCTAATAATTCTTCAGAAGTGCTCTGGTCAACACTTAGAATCAAAGGACCTTTTTCTTTACATTATTTAAAATAGCTTTAATGTACATAGTTATTAGAAATTAAAAGCAACTTAATTATTACCTATTCCTATGATAATTGTAAATGAGTAATATGGATGAAATAATGGTAATAGTTTGGTGAGCACTGTACTATAATTCTGGTTAATTATATAGTTATAGGAAGAGTGATGTGTGTCTTCCATCGATACACCGTCTTGGGAGCCATTTGATGAATAAGATACATAGTAAACGCCTGGGAATCATTCTTAACGTATTATCGTTGTATCAGGATGATAAGTAACATTACCAGTATCATAGGACATACGATAGTGTGCAACTGTGAATATTAATTGGGACAGTGATGAAATAAGACATTTACTTGGAAACTAATGTTTATATTAAAAATACACGGCAGTGGTATGCCAGATGATTGATCTAATATGATATATGACTACCCTTTGCTTTTATAAGCACTGCTACACACTTTGGCATAGAATCGACCAATGTTGAACACATTTTGGCAAGTTCTTCATCGTGGTACCAGATCCTAATAACAGCAACAATTAGCTTTTCCACAGTTGAGCAGTCATGTTTCGCGATCCTGAGTTTGGTTATTGTCCGTAGAATCTCAATTGGGTTGAGGTCAGGAGAATTTCCAGGCCAATTTAGAACGCTTAGCGCACTCTCTTCGAAGAATTTCAGCAGTTTTTTTGGAAGTGTGATATGGATCAAGATCCTGCTAGAAAATGTCTTCTCCGTCAGAAAAGTTTCTATCCACAATGGGAAGCAAAGGAATTGCCAGGATTCCCTTATATTTATTACTGTTCATCGTTCCCTCAACAATAACATCCCGTCCAGGGCCTTTAGCAGTAAAACTACCCAAAATATCTTCTGGGGTGGGTGTTTTGGCACTTGTTGAATGTGTCCATTCCGAAGAGGTTCACCTTCGCTCCGTCTCACTACCGCTGATCTGTACCCATTCATCTGTCGTCTATTCCTTATGATCGAGTACCCACCGCAGCCTTTTTTTTTTTTCATAGTACCAGTCTCTCTGCAGATCTTTGCTGGGTTTCCTGGGATCCTTCACACTATAATAACCTTGTCATTGTGAGGTGTTGTTCTGGGTTTTCTTCCACATCTTTGTCGACGCAGCGTTTCACAATCACCAGCATCGACAGTTTTTTTCAGAATCCGAACAACAGTTGACTTTGCTATTCTCAGATTTTCGGCGATCTCTCTGATACTTAGATTAGCACGTTTTCTAAGAACTACAATACCTGCATGCTTCCTAGGTGTAACAGCCATCATGAATTTCAGCAGTAATTGTGAACTGAAGGGGAGAATTTGATGACACCACATTCATTCATGGCGTACACTTGCATGAATAGTCTTACAGAACAACAGTTCTTGTAGCACTGACGAGAGTCACAGGGTAACACCACAGCTGGATGGTTGCCAGAAATCAGTAGCAAACTCTTCCGAATAGAAAAGAAACCAAACTACATTAATTTAGCCGAAGACTAAGACATATGAGATACCTGGAGTTTACCTGGAGAGGGTTTCGGGGGTCAACGTCCCCGCGGCCCGGTCTGAGACCAGGTCTCATGGTGGATCAGGGTCTGATCAACTAGGCTGTTACTGCTGGCCACACGCAAGCTGACGTACGAACCACAGCCCGGTTGGTCAGGTACTGACTTTAGGTGAATGTCCAGTGCCTTCTTGAAGACAGCCAGGGGTCTATTGGTAATACCCCTTATGTATGCTTGGAGGTAATTGAACAGTCTTGGGCCCCGGACACTTATTGTGTTGTCTGTCAGTGTACTCGTGGCGCCAATGCTTTTCATCGGGGGAATGTTGCACCTCCTGCCGAGTCTTTTGCTTTCATATGGAGTGATTTTCGTGTGCAGGTTTGGTACCAATCCCTCCTGGACCTTCCAAGTGTATATTATCATGTATCTCTCTCGCCTGCATTCGAAGGAATACAGATCAAGGACCTTCAACCGTTCCCCGTAGTTTAGGTGCCGTATCGCACTTATGTGTGCCGTGAAAGTTCTTTGTACACTCTCCAGGTCTGCAAAGTTGCCAGCCTTGAAGGGGGCCGTTAGTGTACAGCAGTATTCCAGCCTAGAGAGCACAAGTGATTTGAAGAGAATCATCATGAGCCTGGCATCCCTAGTTTTGAAGGTTCTCATTATCCATCCCATCATTTTCCTAGCGGATGAGGTAGATACATTGTTGTGGTCTTTGAAGGCGAGATCCTCTGACATTATAACTCCCAGGTCCTTCACATTACTTTCCCGCTCTATTGTATGGTTAGAATTTGTGGTATACCCTGACACATTTTTAATTTCTTCAAGTTTTCCATATCTGAGTAATTGAAATTTCTCCTCGTTGAACTTCAAAATGTTTTGAGTGGCCCATTCGAAGATTTGGTTGATGCCCGCTTGGAGTCTAGCGGTGTCTTCGATGGAGGTCTCTGCCATGGTAATCCGGATGTCATCCGGATGGTTTACATCTCTGTTTATGTCAGAAATGAGAATGAGGAATAGAATGGGAGCGAGTACTGCGCCTTGTGGAACAGAGCTTTTTACCATGGCTGCCTGGGAGTTTACTCTGTTTACTATTACTCTTTGTGCTCTATTTGTCAGGAAGTTGTAGATCCATCTACAACTTCACACTTATCGAAAGCTTTTGCAAAGTCTATGTATACTACATCTGTATTTTGTTTATCCTTTACAGCATCCAGGACCTTGTCATAGTGGTCCAGTAGCTGAGACAGGCAGGAGCAACCTGATCTAAACCCGTGTTGTCCTGGGTTGTGTAACTGAGGGGTATCTTGGTGGTCGGCTATCTTGCTTCTTAGAACCCTCTCAAAGATTTTTATGATATGGGATGTTAGTGCCATCGGTCTGTAGTTCTTTGCAATTGCTTTACTGCCACCTTTGTGGAGTGGGGCTATGTCTGTTGTTTTTAGTGTGTGTGAGATGACCCCTGTGTCCATGCTCCCGATACATGAGGTCCAGCGTATTTTCTAGTCTTGTAGGCTCTACTATTTGCTGATTTAAGGTGAATTTGTTGCAGAGATTTAGTAGTTCGTGTGTGTGTGAATTTTCAGCTGAGCTGCCTCTCGGAGTAATCTCTACTAAAACATTGTTTGCTATACTCTTCTGTTTTAGGTGTCTCAGGTTGAAATCTCTAGTAGTAAGATGTTTGGGTCAGGAGTTGGGAGATTTTCCAGACAGTGGTCAATTTTCTCAAGCTGCTCCTGGAATTGCTGGGAAGTTGCATCTGGAGGCTTGTATACTTCAACAATGACAAGGTTTTGGTTTTCGATCTTTACCGCCAAAACTTCAACTACATCATTTGAGGTGTTTAGTAGTTCTGTGCAAATGAGCGACTCTGTGACATACAGGCCAACCTCTTCCCCCCCCCCCTCTCCCTTATTGCCTGTTTAGTCTGTCGCATCGGAATAGGTTATAACCTGGGATCCATATTTCATTGTCATAATGATCCTTTATGTGGGTCTCTGTGAAAGCTGCAAACATTGCATTTGACTCCGTGAGCAGTCCCTTGATGTAAGGAATTTTGTTGTTTTTTGACAGCTTTAGACCCTGTATGTTTGCAAAGACAAATGTATTGGTGGAATTTAGGGGGGTTTTATTTGCTGACTCTAATATCTGTTGTTCTGGGGTAGAGGCCAATGTCTGTGCCTCTGCTCCAGAAGTGTTTTCAGGTGGTGTAGGATTATTGTCATTTCTTGCCAGTTCTTTTTTTTTTCCTTATGGCCCTAAAAAAAACCTGTCTGTGGAGAGGTTGTGGCTCCTCTCTTTTGTTTCCAATAGTCTGGCTGGTCTGTGTCTTCTAGTCCCCTTTAGATGATATGCCTGGCAGTATGCATTGTAGCATTTTCTTTCATGGATTGATGGGTGACACATTTCTGGATGAAATAGGTTGCAAGAAAGGAAGTTGCACTCTCCCGTTGTCATGTGGGTGCGGCATTTTTTGGGATGGTCAAAGGTGCATGTCCCGCCTGTTTTACCAGATATACCGTGCCTGCAGATACCCGAGGCATAGTATTTACATAGATTGTACTTATGTTTGCTAGGATTTATTGTAGCTGCGTTCACTGCTGGTGCATTTATTTTTCCTGTTTCCTCAATATCTTTTACCCCTGTATGGCTTTGCTGGTAGTGTGTCGACACTGTTTCCTGAGGCCTCACCCCACTTTGATCCATCTCCAGCAGTATCTCTATTTTGAACCTCTGTGGACTGAATAAGGTTGTCTTCAGTGTCCTCCAGGACAACACTAGTGCCCTCACGAGCTCTAGCTTCTAAGACATCACTAGGACCCTCTGGAGCACTTTCCTCCAGGACAACACTAGCACCCTCAACACTGTCCTCCAGGACAGCACTAGCCCCCTCAGGAGCACTATCCAAGACAGCCCCGTCCCTACCACCCATCTTCTTTTCCCAGCTGTCATACCATGCTGCCATGTCTTTCAAGAAAGATGTTTTATTGGTGTTCTTGTCTTTTAATATAGATGTCATTTCCTCATACAAAAATTTACTCCTGTCCTAATTAATTTCCACACTGAAGTAAAATATAGAGGGTGTTTCTTTCAATGGTGAGGTTCAAACTCCCGCCCCTCTTAATTAACTCTCTCTGTCATGACAGTTATGCTCTGTTAGTCTGGAATTTTCTAGACCTCCAGCTTGAATCCTTTGATGTACCAAAAACCACAAACAGTAACTGAGGTGCTGCGTAAGGTATCTGAGGTGACACAAACAATATCTGAGGTGACACAAAAGGATCTGAAGTGACACAAACAATACCTGAGGTTACACAAAGAATATCTGAGGTGACACAGACAATATTTTAGGTGACAAAAACAATATCTGAGGTGATACAAACAATATGTGTGGTGACACAAACATCTGAGGTGATACAAACAATATCTGAGGTTACACAAACAATATCTGAGGTGACACAAAAGAATCTGAGGTGACACAAAGAATATCTGAGGTGACACAAAGAATATCTGAGGTGACACAAACAATATCTGAGGATACACAAACAATATCTGAAGTGACACAAAAGAATCTGAGGTGACACAAACAATATCTGAGGTTACACAAACAATATCTGAGGTGACACAAACAATATCTGAGGTGACAGAAACAATATCTGAGGTGCTACAAACAATATCTGATGTAACAAACAATATCTGAAGTGACACAAAATAACTGAAGTGACGCAAAAACTATCTGAGGTGACACAAACACTATGTGAGGTGACACAAAATAATCTGAAGTGCCACAAACACTGAAGTGCCAAGAACAGTATCAAGGTGACTCAAACAATATCTGAAGTGACACAAACAATATCTGAAGTAACAAACAATATCTAAAGTGCAATAAACAGGAATGTCTGTGAAACTTCAGTAGTTTAAACCCAAAGAAAAAAAGAAAAAACGAGAAAAACCACTCACATATATTCTTATCTTGTAATTTCTCTATGCCGCTCTCTCTCTCTCTCTCTCTCTCTCTCTCTCTCTCTCTCTCTCTCTCTCTCTCTCTCTCTCTCTCTCTCTCTCTCTCTCTCTCTCTCTCTCTCTACCTCTTATAGGCAGCTGCATCTGACCAAAGAGCAACACTGAAGCCGAAATGTGTGTCTTCGGGTCCAGTCATCGTCCTGTAGTGGTCGGGGGAGAGGTTGTAGCCCTCTGTTGGGCACCATGTTAACACCACCCACACCGCCCACGCCGCCCAGACACCGCCCACAGCACACATTCGCACTGACACCATCG